TTTAAAACATCCATTATCGTACATGTTTCAAATTTCATACAATTGTTTAAATTAAAGTGCCCTTTTTGTGAAATAATAATGTGGAAATTATTTTATTATCTCAATATTAAAATACAAAAGTATAAAATTCTCAAAGCGGTAATTCTCCCATAATTTTAACTTGAATGTCCCGAGCCTATCAAATAATTATTTTTTATTCAATGCAGTTTATTTTTTTTTAAATAAGCTTTTCTAGACCGGATTTTAAATAAAAATCTATCCATTACTATAAAAAAAATCCGAAACCCCCTCAAATTCCTGACAGTCTCCTTCTCCAAAAACTGTTTTTTAACTTATCTAGAAATACTTCAATATGAATAAACTGTAATAATGATAATGTTATTATTCATTTCTATAAAAAAAATGTTAAAGTTAATGTTAATGTAAACCTTTTTTAAATTTAGGCTTCAAAAAGTGTCCTGAAATTGTTATTCCTTATAAGGTTATAACCGTCCCCATACGCATTTAGTGGAAAATAAAATTGAACATACTTCTCCAGCAGTAAAATTTGTCTTAATAATCTGGGAATTAGTAATGATTTTGCGGTGCAATAATAAGGTAATTATTTGCTTCCGTATTTTTATTTTGTTCCGAATCGCCCCTAATGATAATAGACATATTTATTATTTTTGTTTAGCAATAACTACGATTTTTTATTAACATTATGTTGTTTAAAATTTATACATAACCTCAATATGAAATTCTGCCATTTACCTATCATTGATATCAAAAACATCGGATTTTTCCAGACCTTTTTTTTCTCGACCGTCCCTTTTTTAAACGTACTGGTCGGGATAATGCAAGAACAGTCAGGAAAACTATCAAGTTTTGTACAGCTTAATAAACACAAATATTAAAATATTTAAGTTTTATGTGTAAGGAAGCCTATAAATTAACTAAAATTAACTGGATATTTAAAAAATGCAGCAAAGATATGCCGTAATTATTTAAATTTTTTATATTTATTTTAAATATTAACTTTTTCAGTTAAAGAAATTTAATAAACAGAGAATAAATTACTGCTGACGAAATAGTATATTGTTTCGCGAGCGTGGAATAATAGCAATTACTCCCGATGATAAAAGTTTCCGATAGGCGAGTAAAGGAATTCATTTTAAATAGTCAAAGTATCATTTTATAGAATTAAAAAAATGTAGCCCTTACAGGATTTTAGTAAGACACGGCTCTTCCCAGTCAAAAAATAGCTTTTCAATTTATGTGGGTTTGACTTTCTGAAAAGTAAGAATAACATTAATTTTACATGACAAACTTTTTAAGGCATCACAGATATAGTTATAAATTTTAAGAAAAATCAAATTTCTGAGTCAAAGAGTTCCCAACTAGCACCAAAGTAACCTTAACGGGGACCGAAACTTTATTCGAGACGTCGCTACGTAGTTTCTCCCAATTTGCTTACTTTATAGTTAAAAATACTATGTTCTATATTTTTGTGGTCATAAAGACTTAATTTTTACTCTCACCCACTACTTTATAGTTTCGTGAACTAGAGGTAGTTTGAAAGGTAAGCCCAACGTCGTCATTACTAGCTAGAATACCGCAAAGTTTATGGAACTTTGAAGTTTTAATCGGTAGTAATTTATGCTACCAGCGTATTACTACAAAGTCGGCATTACATTAAAGTAATGTTCATTGTTTTGGCATCGTCGCAGATACCCAAAATATTACTTTAAAGTAATTGCATCTTGTTAATAGCATTATTTGATGATGGCGACGTTGTTGCGACTCCTCATTTGAAACCTCAATGTCTCATTTACTGCAAAGTTCGAATAACTGATAGAATTCACTTAAGAGTTATTATGACTATAAAGTTACATATGGTCAAAGGGATTCACAATAAGCGAACTAGAAGATCTCTTCATTGCCAGCCTGAATGTGTTTATCAATAAAAATTTAGAAATCAAAATTTTAACTTTTATTTTATTTATTACCAAGAATTAGGCAAGTAAATAATATGTAGGTATATACATATTTTTTATTAAATATACTAACTTTTCTTCTGCATCGGTGTCCAGGCATTTTGATAATTGTTTTTCTATTATGAGCGCCTCTTTCTACTCCAGTACATTTGACAACGCAAGGGTATTTAGCCCAATATTCTTCGGGTACTGAAGCCGCATTTGATCGCAGTTCTTCCTTTGTTGAATAAGTCATATGTTCAGGCCCTGAAAGTATACCCTTATTTTTCCACCGATATGGCACAACGGTAAAATACCTATATTCCCTGCTTCTCCTTTGTTGATACAATTTTAAAATAATTGCCCAACTAAAATATAATTATTAAACTATTTGAACAACAATATTGTGTAGCACACTTACCTTTTGCATTGTTAATATTTTATTTATTAGTCACAAAAACACTGTTTTTTTACACGCTCTAACGTAGCAACCGAGTGGAAAAGTTAGGTTAGGTTAAGCTATTTTGCGAAGTGACGGGCAAAACTTCTAAGTAGCAGCGGTAACTATGATGTGGCGAAAGAGGTCACGGCGACTTTGCTGTTACTCTAGCGTAATGCAATGGGTCCACTGGGAACTTTGTAAACAAAATTACTTTTTAGTGCCACTTTATTCGTAGCGGCCTAAGACTTTGAAGTATAAATGTATTAAAAGTAATATTTCATAGTTAAACCTACTTTAAAGTTGTTTATCGTAAAATCGGCCATTTGCATTCGTATTTTAACAACGCCATTTTTGTTGGATATTAATTAATAAAGGCAAAACAAATAGTTTCACTTATACTGGCATAGAAAATATCAATTATTGTCACAAACATTAAGTATAAAGTACCAAAATGAAAAAAATTAAATTTGGTCATCACTTATAAAAACATAATTTATTTTTAAGCTAACAGAGTTAATAAAAAAATTCACCGTCGAATGTCCCGTGCTGGATTTAAAAGTATAATTGTTATATTTGACAGTAAACTTGCATTCGTTTGTGTTTTACCCATTGTACCATCGCGAATTTAGCAAGTTTGAATTTGTAATAATGCTTGATAAAGTTATATGCGCCAACATTTTGATTTCAATGAAGGACAGCATGAACTTTGTAGAAAGAAACGTAATGCGTTTTATATTTTGCTAGAAAAAAATAACAATAGATGATACAGTTTTAAAAGGGTAGGGGAAGGCATATATGCATAAGGTAACTATAGTTACCTTAAAGTTGCAGGAACTTGTTTGCCACGTTGCCCCTACCAAACGTAGCCGCCGCGGTTTAAGGAACGTCGCGGAAACGTGACCTTAACCAGTAAATCATTCCTCATTTAGGTTAGGCTATTTTGCGAAGTGACGGGCAAAACTTCTAAGTAGCAGCGGTAACTATGATGTGGCGAAAGAGGTCACGGCGACTTTGCTGTTACTCTAGCGTAATGCAATGGGTCCACTGGGAACTTTGTAAACAAAATTACTTTTTAGTGCCACTTTATTCGTAGCGGCCTAAGACTTTGAAGTATAAATGTATTAAAAGTAATATTTCATAGTTAAACCTACTTTAAAGTTGTTTATCGTAAAATCGGCCATTTGCATTCGTATTTTAACAACGCCATTTTTGTTGGATATTAATTAATAAAGGCAAAACAAATAGTTTCACTTATACTGGCATAGAAAATATCAATTATTGTCACAAACATTAAGTATAAAGTACCAAAATGAAAAAAATTAAATTTGGTCATCACTTATAAAAACATAATTTATTTTTAAGCTAACAGAGTTAATAAAAAAATTCACCGTCGAATGTCCCGTGCTGGATTTAAAAGTATAATTGTTATATTTGACAGTAAACTTGCATTCGTTTGTGTTTTACCCATTGTACCATCGCGAATTTAGCAAGTTTGAATTTGTAATAATGCTTGATAAAGTTATATGCACCAACATTTTGATTTCAATGAAGGACAGCATGAACTTTGTAGAAAGAAACGTAATGCGTTTTATATTTTGCTAGAAAAAAATAACAATAGATGATACAGTTTTAAAAGGGTAGGGGAAGGCATATATGCATAAGGTAACTATAGTTACCTTAAAGTTGCAGGAACTTGTTTGCCACGTTGCCCCTACCAAACGTAGCCGCCGCGGTTTAAGGAACGTCGCGGAAACGTGACCTTAACCAGTAAATCATTCCTCATTTAGGGTCCGCTTACTAAACCGGAACGTGCCCACTACGTGCCTGTAGATGGTAATCATACCTTTTGAAGTAGCTTTTGTAGTTGAGTTTACGTGGCAACCACTTTGTGTGCTAGTTGGGTTATGCCTTTTTTTTTTAATAAGGTAAGGGACGCTTCGCATTTAAAGTCTACATTCAAAAAATAATTTCAACAAAAAAAACGGAAAAATTTTTTTGTTTCTAAATATTAAATTTATGGGATTATTTTTTTTGACAGTTCTCTGTATTGTTGGGACATTGTTGAGGCATTGTTGTTGAGGGAACCTACAGCGAATTACAGCGATAATTTTTTGAAAATTTTCTCTGGTAGTTGCTATATATAAAAAACAAATTAAATCTTAATTAAATGTTGTTTTATTCATTATGAAATTCTTATTTGTTAACTGTACATGGTGCAATTCTATTGGCCGACATTTGGGACGGAAAAATAATCCCCCGAATACCACACGAGCTTCAAAATTATCTGGCATTTCCCTCAAGGTTCCCTGCAAACAAATAAAGTCGTCAAGTTTTTCAGGAAAAATCACTCGCGCTTCGCGCTCGTGATTTTTTAACCTGAAAAACTTGACTCCTTCATTTGTTTGCAACGAACCTATCGGGAAAAATACCCGATAATTTTGAAGCTCTTGTGGTATTATAAGTGAGAATTACCCACCTATTCAAGTTAGTAGATCAAAAATATTTATTAATCCCGGCGCATCCGCCATTTTTGCAAAAAATATAAGATACGAAAACTTTTTGTGTCTTTGGACACTTTGAATAACGCTAAACATCTTTTTCAGCCCCCTACAATAGATTTTCAAGCACCAAACAACCAATCTGTGATCATAATCGACTCAAAAACATTTAAACAGTACAACAGATACGAAGACAAACCAAAAGCGACACAAACCGTGAGTTCAAACGGTACGCTTCCGGTATTTTCCAGTTGGTCAGCCTGGTCCAGGTGCATGAACTGCATGCAACGAAGAATAAGGACTTGCGTAAAACCTAGTTTGTGTGAACTCAATTCCAGGACCTACGAAGAAAGGACTTGTAACTCGAGTAGATGCAAGAGAAAATTATGGAAGCGGGAAGATTTTAGAATCGTGCATTTGAATAAGGTAACTGTAAATAAGTTATTCTTAGACACTTTATTGCAAATTAAATTAAATTTTAATTTGGCGTAGGTACGCTATTTCAGATTTTATATGCACTTGAATTATTCATGTTTATTTCACATAATCATTAACTAGATTGTTTATGTCATACTTGTTTTTAGTTTTGTTTTATGATTTTGAATTTTATTTATTGTTTTCATAGAAAAGTAATCATTTTTTAAAACAAGCCCCTACTGACACTTGGAGCAAATGGCTGGATTGGACCCCTTGTTCAGAAAAATGTAAAACATCACGTATAAGAATATGCAGAAAACCTGGACGATGTCAAAAAGAACAACAAATGCAGAACGCATTTTGCTACTTTAAGGGATCATATTGCGAAAAATACGTTCTCAATTTGATCGACAATAACCAAAAGTATCCAGGTATTATTATCACTGTAAAGTTATATACATGGTGAGTTTTCAGTTGACGCTTTTTTAACAAAACGGCAACGATAACCTCCATTTTTTGCATAATTGTCTCTTAGTTTTGCCAAAGGATGTGGGTCATTTTCAAAATTCTTGTATATTTAAAGAAAAAAAAGTAAAAACAAAAAAAAATGTCCCCTGGGTCACAAATTTACTAACATATTAAAAAACTTATATAAAAATGCATCATCATTTTGAAAATATTTTTTGCTTGTTAATAATCCTTTTAAGGTTTTATTTATACTAGGATTTGTTTAAAAAAAGAACATAAATTTATTTTATTATATTAAATAATTTTGAGTAAAAAACTAAGGTAAAAGCAAAAACTATGTCCTATTTGTCAACTTTCTTACATACATAAGTATTTTTAATATATTTTCTGTATTTAAAAAATGTCCATTAAAAAAAGTGAGTTTAAGAAATTTTCTTTTAATTAATGAGTATTAACAACGTTTTTTCTCGATTTTTTATCTGGGCCCAGCTTGTCCAATTTAACGAGCAATAAATTAATAAAAAGTTTTAGTCATTAGTAATATTAATAAAATAATAATAAAAAGTCAATATAAATATTGTTTCGTTGAACTACCAAACATTTTGTTCCAGGTTCTTTGAGGCAAAATACATTGACTAGGAAAATTACTATTAAAAAGTTGGAGGACAATATTTGAAATTGGCTACTTACTGTCAGAAATAGAAAAGGTGTAAGCTCGAGAAAAAAATGTTTTTTAAAACTTTCCAATAAGTTCATTATTATTTCAAAAATATATTATAATTTATTTCTTTGGAATTGTCCCCTGGGTCACATAACTTTCCCCTGGGTCACGGGACGTGTGACCCAGGGGAAAAATGTATGTTTTTAGAACATAACCTTTTTACTGTTTTAAAGATAAAAATTTATATTTTTGCCCTCAAAACCATTACCACGATACTTTCTTGAGAATCAAACAAAGTCCAACTGATAGTTCAAAACACCATTTTCTACTAAAACCCGTTACCAAATACATTGCCGCAAGGGGGCAGCACCAAAAAATGTGCCCTTAATTCAAAAGGTCATTTATAAAAACTGTGATCCAGGAGACGTGACCTAGGGGACTAAAATTAAGGGACAAACTTTAGGGGTTATTTTAACCACTTGTATTTTTAAACTTTACCACAAATGGGCTTTTTCTGTAATATTTGGAATATATTCTCAACTTTATAAAAAGGAGGATGCTAATTTACTCTAAGATATTTAAATAACATTAAGTAGTGAATATTATTGCAAATGGGACAGTTATTTTTCTGTATTGTTGGGAAAAGTTTAATTTCTTTTATAAGGTTAAATTTCGCTTACTAAAGTTTCAAATGGCGTATAAACTCATTTTTTTATAAAATGTTAAAGTTAAGGGATAGCAAATGTACAAGAAATTTAAAAATAACCCATCTAATAAATGCTAAAACTGCGTGCAATACATTAAGGTGGGTAGTATTGCATTGTTTAATTTGACATTTGATGTTTTTTGGAAACACTGTTTCTCTCTTAGTTTTAAGTTTTAGACTATGGTTTTGGTAAAAAAGTTTCTTGAAACATTTGTCTACTAGATTTCTACAAGCGGTTAAAAAAGCGTCAATTTGAAACTCACCCTGTATACTAAAAATAAACAATAATGTTTTCCTATATTTTTTTAGATAATAGAAGATATGAATATAGCAATAATACAGAACCTGTTAATCGAAAATCTAAGACACGTTGTGGGAGACCGTATAAAAAGTCAAAAATGTTAAGAATTATTGGAGGTAGAGAAGCTCAAAGACATAAATGGCCATGGCATGTGGCAGTTCTTAACAAATACCTGGTATGTCAAAAAATGCTTCTTCTAACATGTCAAATACTATTTTTTTATGCGGTAGCTTTTTACCTATTACAAGTCCACTTTTACTACAGTTCTACACAATAAAAAGTAAAAAAGCAATCAAACATACTATAAGCATAAATGGTAAATTAAAATCCACGCTCAAACCGCATCAACCCACTACACCGTTGAGAGTCGAAATATTTATAGCATGTGAAGCTCCTACTTACCAGCAAAGAGCTATTTACCTACTAATATATCAGGCGAATTCGCTTCTATTTGTTGCTGCTTGAGGCGAGAGAATTGGAGCTTGGGCTTGCTCTCATTAGTGGTTTTATATCACAAGACTGAAGATGTGGTGGATGGCAGTTTGTCTTGCAGTGTGTGGAAATGTTTTTGTTTTGATTCAGATTAAATTTTTTAAAACTGTTGTCTGATCTTGTAAAGTTTTTGTCTCGATTAGTTTATTATTTTATTATTGTGGTACACGGGGGTACATACACGCTACACAGGTAGAATTAGCAGTTTTTATTAAGCAGCAAGTTTTCTTTAGTTAAATATTTCTCCTTTTTTTAAATGAATCCTGTTCATGACATTATTCTCTCAATAATTGAAACGCCTTTTTTAAGAAGAAACAAAACTAAAAAAGATATATTGGGCAGTCCAACGACAAAAATGTCATCAATATTTAACGATTAGAGGCAGGGTAAGCAATATTCACCTTTTTAAATATCTTGGTCCGAAACCTATAAGTGGCTATGCGGAAGTATTTATAGACAAAGCTTATTCTGTTGGCATTGTATTTTATAAGGCCGCGTCAAAAACAATTGGAGTTCAGGGGGTGGGTATTCCGATTGCTCTGATATTTTATTTGTATATTTTTATCCATCCATATAAACAGTGCTGGATTAACCTATAGGCCAACCTAGGCCATGGCCTAGGGCGCCGCGAAGCCAATAGGCGCCCAGGCAGAAGGCTCATTTTTTTAAGTAGGTTAAATATTAAAATTAATCAATTAAATTAAATAATTATAATTATTAAACATGGAATACCTACTCTCTAAAAATGAATTGGACAAAAATGACAAATTTAATAGTTATTAGTGTCTGCTTTTTCACTTGTTCCATGGTTAACCATGGAATACCATGGTATCCCAATTCTTATGTAAAATTGTCCCCTGAATCCGAAAATATCGTCAAAAGTTAAAAAAGTAGAACAGTTTTTAAGATATGTTCAATTTTCCATTTAATTGTAATTGACTATATCTCAAAAACTGCTTCACTTTTATAATTTTTGGATTCAGGGGACTATTTTACATAAGAATTGGCTGTTAAATTTTGTGATACTATGGTATTCCATGGTTAACCATGGTACAAGTGAAAAAGCAGCCACTAATAACTATTATATAAGTCATTTTTGACTAATTCATTTTTAGAGAGTACCCTTTTTTATTTTAACAACAAAATCGGAAATATAAATAATTATTTTATTCTTTGATGGATGTCGCCTATACCGCAGCGCGTGCTAGCTACAATGCACTTCGACCCCGCTTAAAAAAAATTTGCATGCATGATCAATAATTTAACTACAACCACTGGCTTTTAGCCCCTGTCGGCTAAAATGTATTGTGTTACCTATATTAAAACCATAGATACTAACATGGCCTATAATAATTATTATAGGCGCCATTTTATTATTAGCCTAGGGCAACAAATTGTCTTAATCCGGCCCTGCATATAAATATATTTTTATGTTCCAGATTTATATTTATATTTTAAAGTTTTAAGATTGCTTTGAAATTCTTTGTTTAGTTTATTTTTTAATTTTTTCAACGAATCTTTTTTGGATGACAATTTTTTTTTACTTTTTTGACAATGTATCTCTAGTTTTGATCGTTTTTTGTTTCTAGTTCTCAAAACTATTTTTATTTTATTGTGGATTTTTTTAGGAAGTTTTTTGCGGAGGCACCCTAATAGCCCCCAGATGGGTCCTAACAGCAAGCCACTGCATCCGCAGCTTCCTAAGGGTGCGTCTCAACGAATTCGACCTGACCGCTGACGACGGTCGCGAGTTGGAAATGAAAGTATCCAAAGTATTTCCTCATCCCAGATTCAACCATCAAACTGTGGATAACGATATAGCTCTTCTTCTATTGCCCAGAGCTGTTAAAATACCTGTTGCCTGCCTCCCTAGAAGAAAACCCAGGGCCGGGGAACTTTGCTCTGTGATGGGGTGGGGCAAAGTGAATACTTACCATCGATATGGGAGCACAATATTAAATGAAGCCAAAGTAAGTTATTTAATATATATAAAAAAAATTAAACCTACACCTCGCCAAAGTATTGAGTGCGTTCCACCAACTTCAAATACCGACAGACAGCTGTTTCGACCTATATTGGGTTTTATTAGTGTCGGGCAACTTATGGTATTGGAACACACCCAAAACAAAAGACTCCCTGAGCTTATATGCTGGGTTGGTAAGCCAACAGAGGCGAGATGTAAGAAAATCACGTGATCTACACTCAAAACAAAAAACTTTGGCGAGGTGTAGGTTCAATTTTTTTTCTTATGAATATTACCAGTAATGGGTTAAGAAAGCTTCTTAAATAAACTAAAAAAATTGAAAGTTTATTTTATATGAATCATTTCTTAAAAAAGTCCAATTTATTTATTATTTTTTCTTAGGCATCTCTAGAAAGTGCTTACCAAATTTGAGCTCTTAATATTAATAGGAAGATCCTTCTCATTACAGTTTTTTCTTAAGTCCCTTATAAACCACCATTTCATTATTAATAAATTGTTTTATCAAATTTTTATTTATATTTTTGTGCGAAATTGAATGCTTTACAAAAAAAAGACTGAGGTGGTTAGGCGATTACTCTAGACATTTAAAAGTTCTATTATTCAAGATGAGAATTTTTAGATTAACAAAAAAAATTTGTTAATAATTTTGTAATTCATTATAAAATAATTATTATCAAATAAGTGTGACATATTTTTGTAAAGCGTTAAATTTACTTCAAAAATATGTCATACTTATTTGGCAATAATTATTTTTTAATGAGTTTGAAATTATTAAAATAACTTTTTTTTAATAAATTATTTAAACTCTTATCTTGAATATCTTTTAAATGGTTATAGTAATCGCTTAAACACATCCATGGGCGGATTTAGGTATGGGCCTTATGGGCTGCAGCCCCCTACGCGGTAAAAATTTAAAAAAATAAAATAAAAATTCCATTTAAAATTTCAGCTCTTTATTTTAGAGGTTCCTAATCGCGAGTTTCTATTTTCTATTTAAATAACATCATGAACATGCGATATTTATACCTAAATATGTTCTCATCATTTATAATTTTATGGTTAATCTACTCATTCAAAAGTTAGTCAATCTTAAATAGAATTTATAGTAATTTTTTAGCTGTTCTTACTTATTAATGAACTTTAGGTAGTAATTGTTTATGTTATGTGGGTCATTCCCACAAAAAAATCCTTTTTTTATTATAAATGTATGCAAGTGCATTAATTTAAAAAGCTTTTATCTATATATCTATAAATACAAGAAAATTTTTTGACAAAATCAAATCAAGTATAGGCCCTCAAACAGCTTTAGCCCAGGGCCCCCAAAGGTAAAGGTCCGCCCCTGAACACATCAGTCCTTTTTTGTAGAGCATTGAATTTCCTAAAAAAGGTGCCTAAGAACCAATTTTTTAATTTCGAAAATAAAAAAAATATTCAATTTTTTTGAATCACCCTAATGTTTATTGTTCTAAAAGAAAAAAATTGGAAGTCAATTGAGATTCAGATATTATATTCGCCTCCACGTTGCCCAGATCTGAATACAATCGATAAATGATTTTTATTTCTTCATTTTAGTTGCCAATAATACCAACGCATACATGTCGAAAATCCTACAAACAAATCCTGATAACAGAGAATATGTTGTGCGCAGGATGGACGTCTGGGAAACAGGACACATGCGCAGGAGACAGTGGCGGAGGTTTGATGTGCCCGGTGCGGAAAAAAAAGAAAATATACAAAGTCAACGGTATCACCAGTTTCGGCGATGGATGTGGTCGAATAAAAAAATATGGAATTTATACTTCTGTTTATAATTATGTTCCTTGGATCGATCATATTATTGAAATGTATTCATAGAGAACATTTAAAAAATAATTCAATTTCCTACATCTTACTTAACTGGAAAATCTGGTGTCTTAGAATTCGTGCCATGCCTTGCATTTGTATGGGACTTTAGTTTATGTGTAGGGAATGTCATAAAACAAACCGTTTGTGGTACCACGATACCAACATAACTAATAAGTGCCTTGCTGAACGTAAATATTTAAAAATAAATTTTAATATCGACTGAAACTATAAAATAAATTTTTGAATACACTGTGATCAATTTGTCCATTATACCCATAATAAATTTTAACTCTTTATTATAGTTGTTAAAGCTTTTTTAAGAAGGACTTTGTAAATATTAGCGTTTTTTATTTATTTGCTTTAATTACCTATACCTAACATTAATTTATTTAGATTTATGACTTAGGTAATAAATTATCTACTAAGAAAGATATAATGTGTTCAATATTAGTAAATATAGATTTTATACACTTTTAAATTAGGATTAACTAACTAAATTTAGTATATTTATTTGTAGATTTACAAAAATAAATGATAATATATTATAATTTGAATTTATATACCTAATAATTTAACGACCATAAATATACAATGTCATAGGTACTATAATTAACCATTTAAAGACAAATGTATTATGTATTGTCGCCTTATTTAAGAACAATGGGATAATTTTGTTCCATTATATCTAATTTTATAAAAATTTAAACATATAATTGGAGTATTAACCTTACAATTTAAATAAATTTAAATTTCATGTTTGAGTAATATTTTCTGTTCTTTATTCCTTGTAGGGTTTTAGTCATAGAATCATTGTTCTTTATGGTTATAGAAGATAATATGTTTAATGAACGCCATTTTAGTTATGAATTTAATTAGGCACAATCGAAGTTTGCCAGAGAGTGTTTAATAAAAATGAGTATTTATAAACAAAAATAATGTACTTAGTACTAATTAATTTTAATATTTGCATAGAGCGACATCTATACAAAAATGGAGTAACCAAAATTGGTCAGGAACCTGTTTTACCGGCTTTCAAAATGTCATCGTTAGTTTGTCAAATTTTTTGTAAAAATCGGGGGATGTTTTACGGGTACGAAATTTTTAATACTTTTTTGGCCAATAGATAGCTTACTGCCGGCGAAATCAAAAGGTAAAGGTAAAGGTGTGCTTTTTAAAGATTTGCGTTAAGAAACTATCTAATAATTTAATATTTTTGTATTGGTATAATAAAATAATTTTCACATTAAAGTATTATTTTACAAGATCTGTGATCTGTGAGAAGGGCATTTTATTTTGAGTCAAAATTTTTGACGATTGTATGACATTTTACATCTTTCAACTAACTTTAGCCCGTGAGTAAAGGCCATAAAGCCACAACTTTAATTAATTTAAAAGATCACTTAGTGTCATAGAAACAGGTTTTAAGGGTGGAAGTGGAAAATAATACATATATGCTTAAATGATTTTTTAAATAAAATAATACATCTTATTAAATGGTTTACAAATTAAAATAAATAATTCCTAAATATTTGTCACAGCCCCTAATGTTTACATAATCATATAAAATTTAATTAATATCCAATATTAAGTAAAAAGTTGTTCAAGTTTTTGATTTTAATTAAATCATTTTAGGGCAATAAAATAAATAAATATACAGGGTCTTTCACAAATCAAGAAAAATAGTTTAAGATAAAAAACCAGCATGTTTTTGATAATATAGTTATGCTCAAAATATTCTTTTTAATAATCGAAATTTCATATATTGTAATTGTAATTTAGTTAGTTATATTCTAAAACATCCTAATTTAGTGCAAACGTTATTATAATTTAATAATATAATTATCTTATATAGGGTATCCCAAAAAGGCACACTAAAGTCTTACCACGTACAGGTACATATATACAGTGTGAACCATTTGTTTGCGACACACCCCTGTAAAATCGTAATTTATTGTGCGATTTTAGACGAATTTATTATAAAGTTTAGATCTTGGTATAAATATTTTTATATTTAATTTTAACAAATAAAAAACGTAATAGAATCTTAACACAACCATGAAACAAAAAATAGAGAATTCCGAATTTCTCTACAATTAGATTTTCGTCACTTCTACGAATTCATATTCCTTGTATTTATTTCAATACACTTTCATATTTGTTCTGGAGTACCTAATGGCTGCGCAGGCTTGTATTACATTATAGCCCTTAATTCTTGTGCAATAGAGGTGACAAAAATCTAATTGTAGAGAATTTTTTGAATTCTCTATTTTTGTTTCATTGTTGTTTTAAGTTTCTATAGCCTTGTTTATTTGTCAAAACTAAGCATACGAATATTTATACCATGATATTATTATGTTTATTAGGTACTATTAGTTCAATTTTATTTCAATGTTTTTTATGGATAACTAGACAAAATAAATTGTCAATACATAAAAGCTTAAAATTAACATACATTTTTATTATGAACAAAAAATACTTCTTTTTTACTTAAATTAATTTCTCTATCATGTTGTGGCAATTTCTACCCTGTATTATGTATGCATTATATACCTAATATTAATTTTTTTGCACCTTTCTAAAAATTTGTTTTTATATCTAAATTGGGAATATTTATTATAAATAAATTACTCTAATAAATTAATAATTACACTGGTCTACAGTAATTTTGCCACATGGTGGCCAACATCTTTTCTAGCAATAAATTGAATTATGATTTATACGAGTTTTCTGCTCAAATAATTAATTTAAGGACTGTAGATACATATAAACTTTGATACGCTCAAATTTTTATTTAATTGTCTTGAAATTTTAGCACAATAAAGTAGATAGATGAAGCTTATAAATTTTGTAAATATCATTCAAATCCGACGAAAATTGTTCGTTTTACAGAACTGAATTTTGAATATTGTCCAATTTTTGTTAATAAAACGATTAACATAATTATGTTAAAAGCATGCTTTTTAGAGTAACAATTTTTATGAATATATATATGTATACAGGGTTTCCCAGAACTCGCGCTACAAAGAAAAAGGGAACGTGCCGAAACTTATGCGAAACACATAGGTACTTGAAAATTAAAATTATCTAACGAAAGGATAAGCGAGATAAGAATAAAAAACCATAGCCAATCCCAATACATGACCATGGGGAATTCTTTAAATTGCTAGAACAGCGGAAAATAAAGAAGCTATTTTCAATGCCTTTGATGCAAATAGTAGGAAGATCATAAGGGAAGTTGCACGCGAATTTCCCGTTCACAATTCAGCGGGTTATGAAGGACGTTCATTTTACGCGAGTGCAGCACCTTCAGCCAGATAATCCCGCTAGAGTGGAATTCTGTAGTGGTTGATAGAGATTTTGGCTCTGGGGTACAGAACTAGTTGTTTAATTTTTACTTTAAAACATTGGCGTCCTGAAGTATAACATTTCTTTTTGAAAGGTTAGTAAACACACGGACAAAAGATTTTTAAAAGTTTTAAGACAAAAATGTTCTATCGTCTCCTTAATTTAATTTTAATTTTATATTCGACCAGTGTAATTTAATAGGTTTAACATATATAGCATGTTATATTTGATTGTCCGTAGACCCAGAACATATAATAATATTTTCCGAGAGGTACTAAAAATACTATTTTTCGTAGATAAAATTAAATATCCTGAATCTTTACTGTAAATTCATCATTCTGGTAATTTTTTCCGACGGTTTGGAAACTATTTCCTTCCAAACCTCGCTGTTTTTGTCGATTTCAATTTTCCCCAGCACTTCTTTCTTCCCAACCATGTTTCTCGAGATAAGCCTCACTAAAATTTTAACGTAATTTAAATTATACTGCGTCACAGTCGCTCTAAGTGTAGAAGTGGATTCGTCTAGCTTTAGACTTATCGTGGGCTCAAATTTGTCGCTTTTCATTTTTTGCACCAGATCTTCCCGCTCGAATGCTGTTATTTTGATGTATAATTGACCTGAAATTTGGGTAGCTTAAGTTTTTTATACATTGATTGGTGTTTCCGTTACCTCCAACTTTTTCGTGATCCTGCATTGTCTGTACACTACATCTGAATTTTGTTACACTGATTTCCACAACATCATTATTTCCATCTTCACTTACTGCGTATTGAAGACTTATTTCTACACTGCCTTTGTTTCCATCCCTCTTAAAAAGCAATATATATATTAAATATATTAAAAAACGAAACCTGACTATAATTATCTGAAGGTTTTTGACGTGCTAAAGCCAAATTCGACCTTTGCTTCATCATATTTGAAGCTGTATCATATGAAAGTATAACTCTTCCATTTTAAAATCCTTTTTAATTTTTTTTTAATATCTTTTCTTCTCTTCGAGGAATCGTTGAATTTCAACTATTTCGGAAAGAAGGGAAGATATTGAAGAGATGAGGTAGAAACATTATTTTGAGATGTAAATAAACTTTTGGGATATAAAAACCTGACGAGTAACCTTCGGATAGATAGTCTGATTCACGATACACAAAAACCGGTATTACAAACAGTTTTGCATAGGCATACGCTATGCACAGGTGTTTTACTACGATTTCTTTTGAGTTTTTTCCGAAATTATTTTGTTTTTTAATGTATAAGCCAGGCACGATGGTTTTGCAACATTTTTCGTAACTATGGGACGGGTGTTTTATACCAAGTTATTTATTAAGTTTTTGTTATATTTGTTGGATTTTTTACAGCTTGCATAAGTTCTTAATAATAATAAAAATTAAAACACAATTGTATCGGAAACCCGCTTCAAAAGTGTCACAAGTAAAAAAAACAGTTTTGAGATTTTATTCTTTGCTTTTAACACTTTAAAGCGGGCGTGCCTTATTATCACCTGTATTAATGCATTTTTTGTAATTTTGTTACCTTTCACATTAAAAAAATGTAAAATTTTGTCTAGCGTAACTTAGGTTTATTTAATTAGAAAAAAAGTATTTTAAAAAATAAAAATAGGAAGGTAGGAAATTAATTGTTGTTAATAGTAGGTATATTATGTATCAAGTTTGATAAACGCCCTTTCAGACAAGAATTTAATTTAGTTACGAGCGAGCTTGCGAGCGAGTGCTTAAATTAATGAGTGTCTAGAAAAGTTTATAAACGAGTTGTATACTATACTTTTTTTACGACAAATACTTATTATTATCTAAAAATGATTTAAATTAATTATTTGTATATAGCGCCATCTATATTTTATTATATTATGGAATCTGTGTTACCGTCAAATATCAAATTTGTATGTGTTATAAACATAGATAATAAATCAAAAAGTATACTTTGAAAATGGATTAAACAACAGTTTTTCACAGTGATAGTGAAGAAAATGTTTTATTAGCACTTCACGGTGGAGTCCGAGTCCGACTTTATATATATTATATATAATAAAAGTTGAGAAACTATTTAATGCTTTGTTATTTTTGAATTGAGATAATTTTCACATTTAGTATTATTTTAGAAGAAAAGCACTGTCAAGTTGAATGTGCTCTTCTTCAAGTTTCAACCAACTTAAGCCCGTGACTAAAATTCTGTTGCTAACTTCAGACCGTGACTAAAACGCCGTTAAGCCACAACTTGTAAATGTGTATATAAAAGGTCACTTATTGTCATGGAAACATGTACGATAATGGGCGTTTTAAAGGTGGGAGTAGAAAAAATATGTTACCTTAGTAGCGCTTGCTGCCAATTAAACTTTCATTTGTTAAACTTTATAATTGCACCCAGGCCGTCCGTATATTTATAAACTTTCGAATATGCAGTGCAAATAACATTCCAACCCAGTTACCCGCCAGCTTTTGGTTCGCACATGACGTCACACGGTGCGAGAGAGGTAGCTATAACATGCATATCAGCATACCGGTTTTTGTATCGTGGTCTGATTTTAACACTAGGAAGTTGGTTACAAAAAAATCAACTTGTTTTACTCACTGTTGCTGCAATAGTTCCACCAGTAATATCCTTAACAGTCCTCCATATATCGGGAGTACTAACCTCTTTTCCAGAAATATTCTGCGTAAAAACCTTACTGTCCAAATAATACGTTACAGCTCCGACCGTCCTCCTATTATTCAAAGAATTCCTGTAACTCTTCCTACCGGAAGTCCTCACCGACTTTTTTCTCAACTCAACTAGATCGGTGTTGTTCTCATTGAAGGAAAAAAATCTTTTCAGTACGTGTTTTGGCGTCGTTCCTGAGGTTTCTTGTTCGTCCTCCAAGTTGGCGTAGATTGTGAAAGATATGAATTTGCCTTTTAGGGGATCAGATCGGCTCGTATAGGGGGATGTTAGGGGAAAAATGAATTCTTCGTTGAATATTGGGGTTGGGTTGACTACGATTTTTGTTTCGAATTTTTCTTTTTCTGGGAAAACTGTTACCTAAAAATAGTTTTAAAATAAGTTTTTTATTATCGACACCGGTTTAACCGGAAGTGACATCAACTATGTTATTTCAAATAACACCCAATAAATTTTTAAATTCTAATGGCCACTTGCACCGTTTTCTCTAACTGATAAGGTAACAGGAGATTAGTGTCCAAAATCTTGCACCGTGATTTTTTTACTAAATAGTAAAAAAATCACGGTTTAAAATTTAACTAGTGATCTAGGGAATTTGACTAAAAAATGGAAAAGATTGGTGCTAATAACTAACTTCACACTTATTTGTGACGTAAATATATTTTGACGTTAAGATTTATTATCTATGGTTAAGAGTTCGATTCTTTATAATCTGTGGTTCGATTCTATTTCATGTACGACCGATTCAGTTGATGGTAAGAGAGAATAATATGGATACAGATCCTGAAAAAAAGGGGGCGATCCTCAAATTTTTTAGAAAATGAAAAAAATCATTTAATTAATCTTGTGGAAACAAGGGTATCATTGAAAACCAAGAGACAGATAGGGCTAAAACAATTAGAGCAGGAAATTAACAATAAAAAGGATGAAAAAGAAATGAATCTTTCGGATTTAAACATTTTAAAAGAAAAAGAAAAACTTAATATATGTATTATAATAATAAACAAGAAGTGACTATTTATTTTATTTTAATTTTAAATAAGTATAAATTAAATAAAACATCAAAAATATTATTCACATTAAATTTTATAAATTCGCAAAATAATCTTGTATTAATTGATTTTGAAACATAATGCGATCTTGTGGATGAGTAACAACAGGGTACTCCAGTTCATGGCATTAATATTATCAGGCAATGGCGGCTCTAGTTTATCCATGTCTCTAGCAATATTATGTAGTACAGCTACAGCTGGAATAATGGACAAAACTGTATTATATATCTAGTTTTAATCTTAAGCCATATGCCAACACTGGAAACCTTTTCCAAATTCCAAATACTCTTTCTATTATATTTCTGGTTCTTAGTACCATGTTAGTAGTGACTCATTATAGAGTTGCTGACCTACCTATAACTATATTTATTGGATTTGCTAAAGATGTCAATAAAAAATATCTTTGAAAAAAAAGATCTTGAACCGAAGACTAGTACTTTTGAGGTTATAAATCGTTAACGGAGGATTAAAGTAATTTAAACCACCGAAATTGGGGGTTTATTTTAACAGTAGTTTAAAGGTATTTAAACAAGGATTAATTTACTGTGCAAGCCAGTTAATAAAAATAAAACCACTGTTAAACTTACGGTGCATGTGGCCATAAATAAAATTCTAAGTAAAATTACTATATATAGTACCATATGGAATAACATGTCCTTTATCTAGTGTGAATATTTCGAGTTATTTTTTTTTCGTTAAAATTTAACAAATGGGGCGTCAATAAAAAAATTTGGTTATTAGGTTTGAGAATATAGGGGTAGAATTTTTGAAATTTCAAAACATTGTTTGAAACATTTATTCTCAATTCTTTACCATTTTTCAACAAATTACCTGAGAAAGGATATGGCAAATAAGGCTAACTTAAAAAGTTAAAAACTTTCTTATTTTAAATGTAACACCCAGTATGTTTTTACATAATCAAATAGTAAATTAAAAAACCTTTAGATTGATGTAACTATTCTCTATACTTAAAGTTAATGATTTCAGAAATATTTAACAATTTCTAAAATTTTAAATATTATTTTGTATCAAGTAACCTGTGACGGTTAAGTTGATGGTATCTATGGTTACCACGTAATCTGTCATTGTTCAAAATTTAGTGTTACATTTAAAATAAAAAAGTTATTAATGTTTCAAGTTAGCCTAATTTTCCCTGTTTTTTCTTAGGTAATTTGTTAAAAAATGTTAAAGATTTTACATGGAATCTTTAAAATTGGATTTTTTTTACCTGTATAATATCCAAAAATCCGCAATAAACTATAATATTTTTAACTATAATATCAAATGATACCTAGGTACTTATATTAGAAAGGTGTGCAATAAATACCTTTGTTTACTTTAATGGATTAAAGGTTTTTAAATTAAAACCAAATATTTACTTTAGATAAAACTACGAAATAAAATGTATTAATATACAAGATTAGTTTACTATGTCAATGTTAAAGCAAAATTACATACAATTCGTAGAAATAAAATCAAGTTTTTAATAAATAATGCATTTTATATGATGGTATTTTTTACGTTTAATTTAACTTAAATGACAGTTGTTTGTAATTTGTCACAAAATGTAACAAAGTGTATTAAAATAGTAATAACATAGGTACTTCTGTTTTATGTTTTAAAATTGTTGGTTGTGGTATATGTCTAATATTTTAATAGTCCTTTTTACCTTGACAAGATATCCTTTAGGCTTGATACTTCCATAGACTGCGGGCAATTTCCTGGCACCAATAACTTTAATTCTGAGCACTTTTTCATTTTCGCTGTACGTGACTTTGAAGCCAATTTGCGGATGATCGGTTTCGCTAGGGCCGAAACCAATCTTATTGTTTATGTTAAGGGAATTGAATAGCTTATTAAACTTTTGCTCCATATTGAAAAGAACGCTGCACCAATTTAACAATGATACACAAGTGGACAATCATCAGCAATTTGAACGAATTAAATGAACGTTAAATTGAAAAGGACAGAGCCAACCGATACAGTTCGCGCAATTAGGTACATTTATAATTGTTCATTACCGTATAATTGTTCGGTTTTCGAGATGTTTAATTATCTTATCAGTTTCAAACACTGCAAATAAATTAATGTATCGACTGAGGAAAGTCTCACAACAATTTTTACAACTGTTTATAACATTTTTGGTGCTGTTTATAGCAACAACATTGCCGTACTTGTGCGTAACATTTTTAAACATCATTTAAATATCATTCGTGGATTTAAATTATGTTTTCTTTACATTGGTACGCCTATGATTTAAATGAAGCATGTGTAATTAAGGAGCGCGTCTGTTAACAAATACAACAATTAAATCTGTAATGCTCGTTTAAATAACAAAGTTAGCTCTACTTTTGGATGACTTTGAACTAAATACATGTTGAATTTTATATTTACTCCTTTAATTTCAAGAGGAAATATTTGGGTAGTTTTAGAAACTAGGGACGAAAATTAGCGTGATTTCGGCCGGACTTTTTTTATACATTCTAGTTGTGAAATTTTGCCAGCGATATAAAATATCATTTAGCCTATGTTGATCTTTGATTTATAGATTTATAACCATTCAAATCAAAGGCCAGGAAACTGAGAATAAAACAGAAAATGAACTTAAATTAACTTTAATAGAATATCGAAAAAAATATATAAATTTTCCAATCTATACTTTACCTATCCAAGTAAGGTGAGGCCCTTTTAATATGATAATATCTTGTTATTAACAACACAATATGTTGTCAATTATGTTAACAAAATTATAGTAAGTGATTTTTAAATGCACGTAAATCTAGTTTGACAAAAAAACATTCAAATTTTATTGACAGGATCCTGAGAATAAAATCAATATACATATTAAATCACAAAAATTATTATTTTCGTTCCATATTTCGCGTGTTTTTACCAGGATACTGATTCGAAATCTGTGGGACAAAATCTAGTAAAGTAATTTTTTAATACATTTGGGGGAAAAGTGTAAATTTTGTGTCTTTAGGACAAGAAAAATATTAGGCTTCCTAATTAATTCTAATATAAAATAATTAAAATTCACTTTTTGGCTAGATTTTGTTTATGGAGAATTAGGAGAATTAGGCACTTTTAAAAGAATTTTCGACAAAAAAATAGAACAATCTACTATTAATTTAAGTATACACTTTTCAAAATTTCATGACCATTTTAACACCAAATTAACACCATACAGGTCTATATCGATACAAACCAAAATGGTGTTAAATATGGTTCTTTGGCCAGTGTAAATTCAAATACTAAAATAGTGTAAATTTAACTTTCACACATTATTAAAATAAATTTTACCTGGTGTAAATTGAACTCCTTCACAGTGTGAAATATTATGTGTTTTTTGTTCAATTTAAATCATACTACACAGAAAAAAAAGGAAACAGGAAGTTCCTTGACGCATTACTAGTATATTACCAGTGGTATTATTCCAGAAAATTGAACCTTCAACTCGCTAGAGATAATGTTTTTAGTGCGTTCCACCAACTTAAAATACTATATTTACAGCTGTTTCCACCTATGTAAGGTCTCTTTAGTATCGAACAACTTGTAGTGTCACACCAACGCAAAGGACTACCTGAACTTATATACTCTTCATCATGATACTAAATAATATGTAGTATCATGCTCTTCATGTAAGTCAACAGAGGCGAGAAATAAGAACATCACGTGATCCACACCGCCTTTGCCACGATCGGTACACACTAGGGGTGTCAATCCCGGGGTCCCGGGATCCCGTAAAAAATCCGATCCCGAAAATCCCGGGATTAAAAGTCCCAATCCCGGGATCTTAGTAATAAGTTACAAATAATAAAATAGACTTTTTTTTAAGTGTATGACATTTTTTATATTATAATACTCATAAGCATATATATAAACACTTCATTTTTTTACTCAGTTCAAGTCAAATTATTATACACCGCCGTACAATAATGAAAATACATTGAAATATCATAGCAAGAGTGGTTCTATCTATAGCATAAAATCAGCAAAGAAAATGTAAAATTACAGGTCACTGAAGAATAAATTTATGTACATAACCTATAACATAACATATTTTAAACGTCAAACCTAAAAAGGAGTGCACGGCAAATTGTTTTAATCGTTTATACAGAGTGCTTTAGGATGAAGCAACTCTTATTTTACAAACAACATATTTAGTAAACTGAACCATACAGCGAGTTGGTTTCACTAAAGTTTTCTGGGTTAATTTAACCAATTTAAAAAAAATAAAATAACTATCTGGTTTAGTACCTTCAAACTAATCTTTGTTTATATTAACCTTCCCACAGTTGATTTAAATAAATAGGTACCTACCACAGACCTACAAACAAGATGGACCGGTTTATTTACATTGAAAAGAGTGGCCAGGAACAAAAATAAATATTTTCCCTCAGTTGTCACATTTGACTTTGAAGTTTCTATATTTTACGTAAAAGATACTTGGAATCCACAACATTTAATATTTTTTATTTGATTTTATAGTGAAAAATACCAATAGTGAGTGATATAAAAATGGTGAAGCAGTGCTACGTTTGTAAAAGACTTGGATCCAAGAATTTAAAACTTTCTTTTCATAGGTTAGTTTATTTACAAAACAAACCCTGCCAGGAGCGTAGAAACTGAATAAATAAATGAATTCACTTAAATTTTAGATTTAAACAGCCAGATTCTACATCATCTGGAACACTAACTGACAAGGTTAGTATTTTGTTATACCTATATATTTATATATATATTAAATATAATTTTTACATAGGATTGCAAAACACAATAAAAAATGTACAATTTAATATTTTTATTTATCCCTAAAAACAGAACGCCACTGGTGTGGGAACTTGTTTATAAATACCCCTTACCCCTTTACCCCTAATCTAAATAGTTCTTGGCAACAAAACATTGTGTATTTTGAATAGGAAAGGCCAGTCCATCTTGTTTGTAGGTCTGTGGTACCTACTTATTGGTCAACTAAATTAATATAGTTAAATGAACTATTCCTTTTTTTCTGTGTAGGTGCACTTCTCAAATATTTTTAGATAAACACCGTTTTGGTGTTTGCTGTATATAACATTTTCAACTATAATTCATGGTGTTTATATTAACACCACTTGGTGTTGGATTTTGACACCATTTTAAGATTACTATTTACACCACAGATATTTTAAACAGTGTACGGTAACAATAAGTAGCAGATATAACAGATAATATTTTTTGAAAAGCCAAATAATTTTATTTATAAAATTGTTTTGCATTTTCTTAAGTGGCCCAATTTGATTGCTCGCCAGTGTATTTAAAAGCATTTTTTAATTTCGTGTTAAAGTAAATTTCGGTTTTAAAATATCTGGTATAAAATCAAATAACAGTTTTTAAAGATTAATAATTTGCAATTTTTATAATAACTTTATTAGTCAAAAAAAAATAAAAGAATTTTTTTATATTTGCTAAAGTTTAATTAAAAAAAATTCCCTTTATAATATTTCTTTTTCCAATTACCCCATATGGTCCTACAATGTTAGTATGTATTATCTATTTAATAACATGATAATGTTTAAATCAATAAATTGTATACACAATTTGTGTAACTTAAATATAATGTTATTAATATGTAAAGTGGTAAAAGCAACAATTATGGTAAGTATTAAATATTTATTATTATGTAAGTTTAAACAACAACCTTTTATAGTATTATTAAGTTTATTAAAAGTGATTATTACAGTTAAAGTTGTAATTATGTTAAATTTTAGGAAATTAACAAAATTATCTAAAATGGGGTATTTCCTTTTACTGGTTTATATACTGAGTGTCTAAGATACACAGGGTGTAAATAAAACACTAAACACAAGCATGATATATGAAACCAATCTAAAAAAAGTTTATACATTCTAAATTGTCTTTATGGTTAGAATTTGTGAAATCAGCAAAAAAACTTTTTCTTTTATTCAAATATGGAAAAACTCTTCTACTTATTTGACCCTAAGAATGCCTCAATATTATTTGTTTAAAAAAAAAATGTATATATATTTTTTAAATTTTATTATATGTTGACACCGTTCACAGCTTGGTTCACACTTGGTTCACACTTGGTTCACACTATCAACGATCTAAGCTAATAAACATATTCTATCTATAAAAACTGTTTTCTAGTTTTGTTCCATAATTGAAAATATGTTGTCTACTTCTTTAATCTCAAATTATATTTTATCTAAATTTTTCTACATATTTTATTTACAGATTAAATTAAACTAAAAAAAATTCTAATCTTCATCATCATCTTCAATTGGAGGCCTGTTAAACACAAATCCTGTTGGTCTTCTTTTGGCCATTTCTTCACTGTAAGTATAATTTATTAAAAAAATAAATGGTCACGTTAAAATTATAAGGATTTTACTTTCTAGCCTTTTTTCTTTCCAGGTCTTCTTCTTCTGCTTCACTAGTTTTATCGTCTTCCTCATGATTTGAGTCGATTTCCAGTTCCTCAACAAATTCATTAAAGGCTACAGATTTTGGTTTTTCAATTTCTTCTATTTCTTCAACACGAATTTTCGCGGGCTCGTTATAGTTTTCGTCTATTTCATCAACTCCATTAGGCCTAAGAAAATAGTTATATTATCTAACTTAACTACATTTTATATTATACTTACTGATATTTTTCTTCAAATGGATATTTTCTTTCGGAAATGTTGCTTTCTCGTGCCTTTAGTTTTCTAAAAAATAAACGTTTTTGTTTTAAAAATGTTGTAATGGGAAAATAGATTAATAAACATTATAAGATTTTTGTTTTTTATTTATCAATGCTAATGAAAAATGAGAAATATTAGGAACTCTAAAAAGTTGCATACTTCTGCTAATACATTGGGTTATACTTAAGTGTATTTAAAAGCTTATCTACATTTTATAGATTATTTTTCAAAAAAAGTACTTACAAGATACAAGGACTAAAAAATGATGATGGTATTGTATCAGAAAAAACAATGGTTTACTCAAAAAATTCTAAAGATAATTATCGATTATAATCGATCAAAAAGGAACATTTGGTTTGATAAAGTTTATTCAAAACAAGTTTAAATTATGCGTAAAAGTTAGCGAGGACACTTTAGAGTGCAGTTAAATCTTTATTTTTGCAAACCCAAAACGTTCTGTACCTTAATTTTAAGTAGTAAACCAATCCAAAGGAAAAAATGGATGCAACCAACAATACAGATAAAATGGCAACTGCTGCAATGTAGCCTTTAATTTGTTTGTCCTTTTCTGACAATTCCTCCTCGTTATTAGTGTTACCATCATCTAAAATTATTTTTTATTAGTAAAAATTTTATATAAGTATTAAAATAAAAATGACCTAATGGTAGATCCACATTAAGAATGGATGTTTGAACTATTGTCATATCTTCTGTTAATTGAATTTTCACTGATAAATATTTTTCTTTAGGGAGATCCGATGGAAAAGGCTCCTTTTTGATAATGTCCACCATTTTATTATTCTGTTTGAAAGTAAAATATTTACTTTCATCTAAAAACTTGTATTTTATTTTTCTTAAAACGCCTGTAAACCAAAACTTACCGACAAACTTTGCTGTTACCCCGTCTATATAATTATTTATTGTGATTGCATCACATTTAAAATTTGTGTCCATATCTAAAGAGGCATTGTAAACGACTTTATCAAAGCTTGCTTTTAAATTTGGCATGTTCATTGTAAGAGAAGTTCTTCCTGTCTCTCCACTTTCACTTTTTGATACTAATACAAAATTAATGAATTTTTTGTGTAAAATAGTTTCTTCAAATTTCTTAACTGTCCTTTCTATAGTCCACTGATCATTATCTAATCTTGTTTTAAAGTATTCGTTATATTCTAAAATATATAAAACAATAATATTTTTTGTTTTGTTTTATTGATATTTATTACCCCCTTGTAAATCAACTGATATAGGTGCAATATTAGTTTTTATTGAAGTTGTTAATTTAACAGTATCTTCTTCTGGATTATAAGTGGCTTCGTAGTATCCTTCTTGAAACTGAGGACCTGATGAAAAATCTTTACTTTTAATAATCAGGGTGGTCGATGAAGATTCATCAGTTTTAGCGTTAAGTTTTACAAGGTAATATACATTACTGTCAGTAAATTCCTTTAAACATGTACATTCCACTGTAACATATCCTTCAGAGTCAGTGCCAGTTTGATTGCATTGAATATTTGCTTCATAATCTAAAATAGGTTTAAAAACAAATGTATGGGGGGATTAAGATAAATATTTACCTGGTTCCACACCAACTTCTAAGATATCTTTATGATCAGTTTTAATTCTGATAGTAGCATCAGTGCTTATAGTTGGTTCAGAAGGTGTGAAAACATCATATAAAAATTCATAAGATGGCTCTAGAAAATTGGGTTGGTCAGGAATACTATTTTCTTTATCCACTTTTATATTAAGTGTTGCGGTTGCATTTTTACCACCATCATCCTTCAAAATTATTAATTGGTCGTTTTGATCAAAATCAATATAATAAGCATTTACGTACTGTTGCAGTTATAACATAGGGAGTATCCTCAACTAGATTTAATTTACTTGTCACTTCCATTTCTAAAGTATATTTTGTGTTATCCTTAATCGAATTTGTTAAAAAATCTTCATTGCTTAAAGAGTAAGAAATTTTTTTATTGGAAAAATCCTTATCTATTGTATATATTGGATTGATCTTATTAAACGCAGTTATATCGGTTCCTTTTGGTAGAGGCATTGGAACTTTTATGTCATATTCCAGTTTAGAAAATTCAGGAGTATGTTGATCTGTATCGGTTATGTTTAAAAGAAATCTCTAAAACAATAATAATTATAATTGAATTATCGTTTCCAATCAATCATGATGACACCGGGATTAATTTAAAAATTTGATAAAGTAAAATTACTTACTGCTAGAATATAGGAATCCCTTGAAGAAGGGTCACAATTTATTTTACATGTATAGGAAATTTCAAATTTGTTATCCTTTATACCGGGGTTGTTACTATTTATGAGTTCATCAAAGTTGGAAAAATTTTTCTTGATTTGAAATTTGTTTGTCTCTTTATCTGTTGCACCAGTTATCAGTGCAAAATCATCAAAGAATCCCTTCAGCGAAGGGTTACACGAAAATGATTCTAAATTAATCAAGAGATTTAAGACTATTTAAAAATAATATTTTTTATTAAGTACCTATCAGATTTCCAATTGTTGTATCCTGCTCATATTCGCTTAAAATAGGATTTTCGTCTGTATCATCTCCCAAAATATAATTATCAAAATTCCATTCAAGTTGTATTGCACACTTATTTGTTTCTAAAATTATATAGGCCTTGTTTATATATTTATATTTTGGTTGTCCAAAACGGTGAATTCATTATCCATCCATTTAATGTCAAACTTGGGAGTCAAATTGTAAGGCGTTTTATGGAAATTTTGTGGAAATGAAGCCGTTTGTCCCATCACAACCGCCGCTGTTGCCGCGTTTGACAGTAAATGAACAAACAAGGTGCACGTACTTTTTGAACACCCTGTACTTACCGTCCGAAGAAACAATTCCAAAAAAGCAAATAAAAATAAATACAACGCGTCCCATCTTCACAAATTCATAATATAACTACATATATACACGTAAAACAATGATTTGTTATCAATAAATTTACTTTTTTCAGATAAACCATTTTATTGATTATCAAAAAATAATTTATTAAAATCCGATTAGAAACAGAATTGTATGAAGTTTCAGCCAAAACTAACTTTGATTTTTGCATCCTACAATAATTATTGTAACTTGAACTTGCAATTGTGACTATTACCAAATTGGTAATACCAATGCAGTCGCTAAGCTCGAAGATTGTACCAAGAAGCATTCCCGGGTATACCCCCATATGACATGACGTTTACCAGTTTACATCAAAGACTGTGTGAAACTGGTACTTTTAAAGTAAACAAAGGTGACTGCGGGAGAAATCGAACAACTCGAACAGTGGAAAACAAGGAAAAGATCCTACAGGTAGTTGCCGCTAATCCTGGGACAAGCACAAGAATAATTGCTATGCAAGAGGACGTTTCAAAAAGTATGCACGATAAGGTGAGGCGCCGCAGGCAATTTTTTTTTTAAATTTACGCCGCCCGATAGGACGAGGAGGGCCAATTCCGTGGCCTCCTCGTTTTCCAGATTTAAATAAATTTGACTTCTGAGTGTGAGGATATTTAAAATCATTGGTGTATGCAGTCCCAATTTATAACGTTGAGGAATTAATGCCACGGGCTGTAAATGTTTGTGAATCCATAAGAATAAACTTGGAAAACATTAGAAGATCTATGAAAAACGCGTTAGGAGATTTGTAGAAGAGAACGGCGGTCATTTTGAGCATTTACTAAAATAATAATTGTTAAAAATTGGAATTAAATTGAGTTATTGTTGTAGTTGATTTTTTTATTTTATTTTTACGTGTAGAATGCCCCCCGAAATAATAAATTATATTAAAGTTATTTCCAGACTCCTGGTATAATTATTTATTTAAAGAGTATTACAATTTTTTCTAATTTCTAATAAAAAATCTACGATTCATCAGGTTTGCCGAATACAAATCCTGTCGGTCTTCTCTTTGCAATTTGTTCCCTGTAAGTAAAATTTCAATTTAAAAAATATTTACAATTTTTATTAAATATTTTACCCTTTTTTTTCTTCAGGATCTCCCTCTATTTCGTTAAGGTCTTCATCCCCGTCTGTTTCGTGATTTGAGTCAACTTCCAATTCTTCCACAACTTCATTAAAGACTACAGATTTAGGGTTTTCAATTTCTTCTATTTCTTCAACACGAATTGTTGGAGGTTCTTTGTAGTTTCCATCCACTTCTACATCAGGTCTACAAATATAATTTTAAACCTATAACTTCACGAAATGCTTGCTAAGTACTTACCGATATTTTTCTTCGATTGAAAGTTTCCTTTCGAAATTAGATTTTTTAATTAAACTTGGTTTCCTAAAAAACGCAAAAAACATAATTTAAACAACAACTTTATATTTTCATTTATTTTATTTTACAAGTAATATTAACTTATTTAAATTAAAGAATATAAAGATAAGTAATAATACTTTATCAATTGGGTTAAAAATTAAACAATTAAACCCATAAAGTTCTATACCTTAATTTTAAGTAAACAAAGGCGCTAAGTGAACCAACCACCATTATAGATAAAACCGCAACTGCTGCAATGAAGCCTTTAATTTTTCTGTCCTTTTCTGACAACTCTTTCCTAAGATAATATTCTTCATCGTCATTGTCGTTATCTAAATTTTTTTAATTAGTAAAAAATATGGTGATAAAATAAAAGTTACCTGAAGGCAGATCAACTATAAGTGTGGATTTTTGAACAATTACATTGTCTTCTTTTAATTGAATGGTTAATGAAAAATATTTATCATTAAGTATATCAGACGGTAAAAGATCGTTTATGGTTATCTTCACTGTATCCCCAGTTTGTTCTAATGTAAAATATTTACTGTTTTCTAAAAATCGAAAAGTTTAGTTTTCTTAAAACCAATATAATAATCTAATACTTACCAGTTATCTCTGCCGTTACTCCCTCTATATAATCGTTAATGGTAATCGGGTCAACTGTAAATATTTTATCTAAACCAATAGAACCTGCGTAAGTTGCTTCATTAAAGCTTGCTTTTAAATTTGGCATGTTTAATGTTACTGATGATGTTTCTGTATCACCATTTTCATCTGTCGATATAAGTGGAAAGTTAATAAATGTTTTGTGTAAAATTGTATTGTCCAACTTTTTATCTGTTGTTTTTATATTCCAATGATCGTCGACTAGTTTTGTTGCAAAGTAATCCTTGTATTCTAAAAACATACAAATTTAAAGTAATCAACTTTGTGTTTATCGTTTATAAATCACCTCCACCAACTGAAACCGATTTAGCTACTGATTTGGTTTTTATATCGGATTTTAATTCTACAGTGTTATATTCTTGATTATATGTGGCTTCATAATTAACCTGTGTAAACTTAGGCCCAGAAGAGGTTTCTTCAATATCAATAGTGACAGTGGACGTTTGTACTATTTTGTTTTCTTCCTTTAATTGAATGGTTAAAGATACATATTTATTGGTTAATATTTCAGCCGGAAAAGGATCGAGTATGGTTAACTCCACTGTAATCCCACTTTGTTTTAAATTAAAATATTTACTGGATTCTAAAATTTGTTAAGTTTAGTTTTCTTAAAACCAATATAATAATTTAATACTTACCAGTTATCTCTGCCGTTACTCCCTCTATATAATCGTTAATGGTAATCTGGTCAACTGTAAATTTTTTATCTAAACTAATAGAACCTGCGTAAGTTGCTTCATTAAAGCTTGCCTTTAAATTTGGCATGTTTAAAGTCACAACAGTTTTTGCTGTCCCTCCATTCTCATCTGTCGATATTAGGGCAAAATTAATTAAGTTTTTGTGTAAAATTTCATCGTCCAATTTAGTATCTGTTCTTTCTATAATCCAATGATCACCAAGTGGTGTTGTTTTAAAGTAATCACTACCCCCTTGAATTTCAACTGACTTAGCTAACTGAAGAGTTTTAATTGGAGTTGTTAATGTAACAGTTTCACTTTCTTGATTGTATTTGGCTTCGTAGTAGCCTTGCTCAAACTGAGGTCCTATTAAATTTTTATTTTTAATAACTAGTGTTGTAGATGTGGATTCATCAGTTTTAGCATTAACTTTAACAAAGTAATATACATTACTGTCAGTGAATGCCTTTAAACATGTACATTCCACTGTAACATATCCGTCAGAGTCAGTGCCAGTTTGATTGCATTGAATATTTGCTTTAAAATCTAAAATAATTAAATAATTAAATATATGGTGGATTAAAATCAATTTTTACCATCTTCAACACCAACTTCCAAGAAATCTTTATTATCAGTTTTAATTTTGATGGTAGCATCAGTGCTTATAGTTGGTGCAGTAGGTGAGGACACATCATATAAAAATTCATAAGATGATTCTAGGAAACTAGGTTGATCCGAAATACTATTCTCTTTATCAACTATTATATTAAGTGTTGCGGTTGAAGTTTTACCACCATCGTCCTGTAAAATTATTGATCGGTAATCAGAATGATTTTTAAACATTATTTGTTTAAAATAATAAGGTTTTACGTACTGTTGCAGTTATAACATAGGGAGTATCCTCAATCAGATTTAATTTACTTGCAACTTCCATTTCCAATGTGTATTTTTTTCCATCCTTATTTGAATTTATTAAAAAATGCCCATTGTTCAAGATGTAAGTTACTTTTTTGTTGGAAAAATCCTTATCCATCGTATATATTGGATTGTGCTTAATAAAAGCAGTTAGATCTGTTCCTATTGGTAGAGGCATTGGAACTTTTATGTCATATTCAGGTGCAGAAAACTCAGGAGGATGCTGATCTTTATCAGTTATTGTAACACGAATGGTCTTAAATAAAAAAGAATAAAATCCAAGCATAATGGTTTATTTATACGTACTGCTTTGGATTTCTCTGATGTGGACTTATCGCAAGTTATTTCACAATTGTATACAATTTGAAATTGTGATCCGGTTACGTCTGGATTATCAGCGTTTATTAACTCATCTAATTTGGAAAATTGATTTTTTAATATTCTAAAATTTTTGGTTTCCTTATCTGTTTCTCCAGTTATGAGAAGAAAATCAAAATAATCCGATAAAGACGTACACTCAAAAGATTCTAAAAATTCAGAAACTATATAGTTTTTTACTAAATTATTTTTTTATTGAAGAAGGTAAAGGCGTTTTCATGAATAAAAAACGTAATTGACGGAATATTTTTTCACAAAATTTTATGAACTATATTTTTATAAAAGTTTATCGAAGGATAAAGTGATAAAATAATAATTTGGTGAAATACTCACCCACTGGTTTTCCATTACTTGTATCCATGTATTTATATTCATTTAAAATAGGATCGTTATCTGTATCATCACCTGCTAAATCATTCGGAAAATCCCAATCAAGACCTACTCCACAATTACTGGGATCTAAAAAATAGGGATTTTTGTACTATAGCAAAGCGTCCCTATTAATTTTTTTACATTTACAAAACTTAAGTTTAACGGGTTTAAGTTGTTGGTTGCGGTTCAAAGTTCAAAGGTCTAACAATGCAGAAAATATCTCCCATGAGTTTTTTTCTGCATTTAATGGCAAAAATGTGCGCCATAAATATGTTTACGAGCTGGTTGCAAAATTTGAACAAACAGGATCTGTTTGCAATCGAAAAAGAAACCAACCTAGGATACTCAATGAACCCACCCATATTAAGATTATTGGTCAGTTGGGTGTAGATCCCACAATATCACTCCGTTCGGCATCTAGATTAACAGGGCTTTGCCCGTAGTATGTTAGGAAGGTGTTGAAACGTCACAAATTCCACCCATTCAAAATGCATATTACACAAGAACTATGATGAAGGCTATGATGATGCAGACAGGGGTTTGAAATTTTGTGAAGTTATGACCAATAAAATAACAAATTAGATCCAAATACTAAAAAAATTTGCTTCAGCGATGAGTGTACTTTTTATCTAAATGGAAATGTCAACAAACAACATAGTCGTTATTGGAGCAATGAAAATTCTTATCTCATCAGAGAAAATCCTGAAAAACTTAATGTCTGGGCAGGAGTTTTGTGAGATTGTATTATTGGTCCTTTATTTATTGCCCAGAATTTGAATACAGCCACCAATAATAAATGAACTAGAAAATCAAAGAGAAAAGGAAGATGAACCAGTAGATGTTAGGGTTTGGTTGGATCAGAATTATCCAGAAAGGTGTTTTGGTAGAAGAGGACCAACAGAATGGCCTCACAGATCTCCAGATCTGACACTATTAGACTTTTTATTATGGGGTCACTTAATATCTGTGGTCTACAAAACTTATTATAATATAGATCAAAACTAGGTACTTACTGTTAACTTGTGAAGACACAATACAAAATATTGAAAATAGAAGAAAGAAAATACGTTTCATTATTAAAACTTTACCATATATCCATATGAACAAGCATACTATACAGAATAAGTTATCTCAAATAATTTTATTTTTTAAGATAAATTTTATCGATTATTATTTTATTTGGCTTATCTATGATCTAATTAAAATAGATAGTAGTAAAATCGCAATAACGTTACAATCTTTTTTTATAAATAAAAAATAACAATAGCAGATATCAAATAAACAACTATAATACAAGTTAAAGCATTTAAAAGCTAGACTAAATATTATTCTGGTTCTGTCGAATGTTCAATCGTAAAATTCATCAAATCTGGTTCCATAGGCTCAAAGTGTCTAACAGGTACTCTGGCTGCTAAATTGACCATACTGGCCCATTGTCCTTCGCACAAATTTTGAAACGTCATTCCCTGTAGCATAGAACCTCCTAAACCTCCTGGCCCTCTACAAGTGGGTTCCGAATCCCATATTTTGTTTCTATTTGATTTCACCCACCTTAAAAAAATTAAATGGTAAAATTGTTGTTCATAAATTTAAATTAGATTTACCTTGCCAAATATAATATGTTACAATCACAATGCCAAGGATTTTTTCCCAATTTAACAGAAACCAGTTGAGTTAACTTGTCGAAAGTTTTAGCAGGTATAAATTGAAATTTATTGCTGTCCAAATGTCTAAAAACCAAACTTTAATGCACTTGTTCTCAACTGTTAATTGTTTTCTTACAATTTTTGTAGGTTTTGTATGTATCCAAAAGTATTTTTATGTATTGATAGTAAAATATTGTTGTTTATTAATAAAGTGGTTAAACCTCCTAAACCATTAAAAGCCCTTTCCCTTATTTCCTCCAAGTTATTTGAATATAAGAACAACTTTTCGAGATTTACGTTATCTATGAAAGTATCGTCAGGAATTTCGCTTATAAAATTTTGACTTAAATGTAACTCCTTTAGGTAAGCCAGTCTCTTAAAGTTTGATTCATCTAACTAAAAAACAATATAAAATGTGCATCAGGTTTCCAAGAAGTTTCTACCAAAAATTTTGAGGTTGTAGGTATTACATCACAGGGTATTTTTAATCACAAAACTCGTCACCCCATCTGAAAGTACTACTCTTGCCCTTCAAAATTCCTTATGACAGTTTTTCTTTTCTTTTAGCCAAAATTTATAAGTTTTCTTTTGGTAAATATACATTTTAACTAACGATTTCTCAAAGAGAAGAAATCGTATTGAAAAATGATTTTAAAGAATACTAAATGAAAGAAAGGTTTTGGACTTTCATTGCCTTATTATTTTTAAGCACGACTTCAGGTAATTACTGAAAAAGTTAAGTAGCTACAGGCCTCTCCCTCCTTGTGCTTTTGACTACCTGTTAATCAACCTACATGTAGGGTTGCAACCTTTAAACAAACAAGAGTAGTACCTACTTAAACGAAATAATAAATTTTGTGGACAAAAACTATTTTGTGATGTAACAAAGCGGTTTTTTTCTATTTTGTAGACCTGTAATAATATAATTAAGAAACTCATTCTTTACTTTACTTACTTGGACAATTTTATTGGAAGTCAATTGTAGAGTGGTTAGATTTTCTAATTTGTCAAACAGTTTTTGAGGAATATGGGTAAGTTGGTTTTTCCTTAGGTTTAAATATTCTAGATTCACTAAACTATCAAAAGTACCTGTTGCTAGTAAAGTTAATTCATTTTCGGCTAAAAGTAATCGTTTCAAAGATTTTAAATCATTTAAAGCAAATTTTGGTATGTTTTTAAGAAAGTTATTGCTTATATCTAAGTCTTCTAATTTGTCTAGTTTCTCGAAGGAATTTTCTGATATACTTGTTATCTTATTTCTTGACAGATGTATCACAATTAGGTTTGAATTTCCTGAGAATAAATGTGGTGGCAACATTTTCAACTTGTTTTCTGATATATCAAAGGTTTGTAAGTTTTTCAGTTTATGTAATACATTCTTTGGAAGTTCTTCTAGGTTATTTTTATTTATTTTCCTAAAATTCAATTATAAAAAAAATGTGTTTGATATTGTATACTTACAAATATTTTAGGTTGAATAGGGAGTAAAATATCCCTTCAGGGAGGTGGTCTATTTTGTTATCGAATAAATCCAATTCGTTTAGCATTGTTAAGCCAAGAAAGGCGTTTTTATTTAATGTTGTAAGTTGGTTGATTCCAAAATCACTACAAAGTACAACTTGTATAGGGTGGTTCAAAATAGTTACAGTTTAATAGCAAAAAACTATAAAATAACATTATCCAGGTATGAACCATTGCGTTGCAAACAAAACACTTGTTCAAATTTAAATAATGTTATTTTTCTGATTTTGATAAATACATGGTTTGAACATCATGCGGTATAATTTGGTTTGCTGGCAAAACATTTAGATCTAGCTGCCAACAGTTCATTGATTTAGTTTCTGGTCTACATTTACATGGTCCATTTTCGCAGTGTATCCATCTTTCATTGCTTTTTTGAATGTCCCATACTAAAATTACTTTTTAACTCTTGATCATTGTTATCAAAAAATCATACCTGGTTGCTCCAACGATCTTAATCTTCTTTCTAATTTAAGAAGATAAGCATCTGTTCTGTTTTCTTCTAAACTATCCATCAATTCTCTTAAATTCATTTGCGATTTACTATATGCATCACAAGCGTTGATATCACACGTTTCTTCACTTTTAACGCCTAATACGTAAAACAGATAAAGAAGGTAAAACCTCATTTTCACTTGTTGTTTTGGCTAGGGAATAGCAAAATGTTAGTAGTGGACTACATTCTTTATTGACCGTAAAATTTGTTTCCTGATAATAATTTAAATTGAAATGGTCATTTAATTGTGCAATTATTCTCTTATTTTGATTGGATAAAAAATGCTTGTTAGATTTGTTGTTCCAAAACATATTATGACACCAGCTTTTAATGTTTTCCAACTAAGGTAAACACCATGTCATTCGTTGACTTAAAGATTTGACATTTTGTGTAATTTAATACCCGAAAAAACATATGATATAAAAAAATGTATAATTTAACTCCAAGATGGAAGAAAACTTATGAAAGTACTCCACCTCTTATAAATGCAAACACTTATTTATTATGCGGGGGAAAAGTTTGCGAAAGACCAAGAGGTAAAATATTAGTATTCCTAATTCTGAATTATTGCAAATAACATTTGATATACTGTTTGTAGAAAATTGTTACCCTTTTTTAACCAGCAGCAAATTAAAAAGAAGCGTTGTGAATACAAGTTTTTGCGATAAATTTTACATCGTACCTGATAACAAAAAGATTAAGGTTCTTGCTCGACAAAAATCCAAAGGGTTGTTTTAAATTTTCATTTTTTAGGGTGGCTCTTCTTTAAAAAGCAAAGCAGTACGATTCCAACCACACAAATGGGACGATACTCCAGGGCCAACTTCCTACAGCCCCGAGGCAAGCACCAAATGTAGGCAATTGGAGGAATTGCCACCGGGAAAAGGTCGTTTGTATTTGTGCCATGTTGACTTGACTTGCGGAGTCAGCGCCCCCTCGATCCCATCGAAAATCGACGAAAATGGATATGACATAGATTGTTATGGATTTTTGGATAAAGTTCCACCCAATCCTGTCAAGGAGTTTGTTGGACCGGCTGATTACGACATAACACAAGTAAATATTCCTAAATTTTAAAATAATTCAGCGTATATGTAGATAGACTTGGACAATTTACAGGGTGTCTGTATTTTTACATGTTTAATATTAAACCATTTGCACATTTATATCTAGCTTGAGTTACCATACTTATATCTTTCTCATTCTTCTATGCATCAGGCTCATTTATAGATAAAGAACATTTTTCCTGGGCCCCTTTAATGTGGGAAAATATTTACAGTTAGCTATTTGATTTGCAGTGTCCTTGTTGCAACTGCGAAAAGTATCACGGCTGCAATTGGTCGAACAGCAAGACGAAACGTTTCAAAGATAATGTAGAGGACTTGCCGGGACCGGGGACATACAATTTACAGTTACCCAGAGATCCGCTGAAAGAGCAAATGGAGGAATACCGAGAGATGGCGCGGCTGTTCAGTTCTTCGATGCGCTATTTGGATATGCAGGAAATGCAATTAATTAAGGATGTGAGTTATATCAGGTTTAGTTTAGTTTAGTTGTAAAATTAATTATTATAGAAAACGTCAAAATGAACGTTTGCCAGGTTGGATCAACTTTCCCAAATCCTTTTTAATGAGGTTTTTTATTCAATTTTTTTTAATCAAATTTAAAACCCAGTGAATCTAAGCATAAAAAAATAAAAAACTTAAATATTATTTTCGAGATAGAATGTTTTGAAAATTCATTTGTCATCTGTTAAATTGACACCTGTAAAAGCGTCCATATTATAAAAAAACAATGATTAGAATATTGTGCGAATTATTTTAAACAATAATAATTATTATATAGGATTTTTTTCAAACACTAAAAAAGAAGAGTGTTAAAAGCCACTGTTTCATGCCAGTGTTAAAGTCGCTCTCGAGGCCGTTAGGCCGAGTTTGCATTAACACGAGCTTGAAGAAAGTTTTTCTACTACCCTTTAATTTTTTTATTATTTTCAAATACAAAACAAAATAACCTAAAAACTTGTTTTACAGGTGTTAAAATTACTTTCATCTTATTCTTTTAATTTTTATAAGTTAGAAACTTACATTCTCAATTTAAATAAAAGCACCAAAAATTCATATATCCATATCAACTTTTCCACCAAAATCACTTTTAACAAGAAACAACACGACGAAAATGTGTGGTTTTGTGGAGTGTCGCGAACAAAGACGTACGATTTAAAGGAGCATTCAGAAGAATAAAGTTTGAGTTTCCTACCATCGTATGAGTCTTTCAAATTAAAAATATTCTACAATCATTAACTTTGAGACAGTTAAAATATTATCAATATACGATACTACACATAAATTACTATCGCTATTTCCCAAGATCTACATTTTACTTTTTTTTGAATACCTAGTTGGTAAGTATTTTTTTTTAAATGTCTATTTTTTTCGTTAAAAACGGTGTTCGGTGAACCGTGTAGGTAAATGGCAGAATTTCATATTTAGGTTATGTATAAATTTTAAACAACATAATGTTAATAAAAAATCCTCTAATTGATAACCGATCGCGCCAAAATTTAACGACATTTTTCGTGAGGAAACTTCTGTTAGAAATAGGTAGAAGATTGAAAAAAAATTGTTCAAGCTACCCTAAGAATATGTATATTTGTTTTGAATTAAAACATAAAATTTAAACGGTAAACTTTGTAAGAACGACCCTGATTAGGACTAAGGAAGAAATAATTCACCATAGTCTAACTTTGGCCATTCCAAATTAGAGTAAGTAAGTATTTTAATTAGATGGATAGTTTTTGGTTTATTTTGTTCGAGCGATGAGACTTTCCCGCTATTTTCCACCATTAATCCGGCAATCATCTAGGTAACTAACAACGTAATTTATTTTAATTAGTGCCGTTCGGGGCACTCGAATCGCATTCTCGCTGCAATAATTCAAGCGGCGAATTTATCAAGTACAACGAAAATAATTCCGCCGTCGCCCACACGTCAAAATTAATAATGTCGGACTTCCTCCCATTCTGCCACCATTAAAATTAACCCAAGGTAAGCGTGGTTGCCTATTCAAGCTGATGGAACCGAGATGTGTAGATGTTTTGAAAACAACAAATTAACTACCTACGTATGTTTAATATCTAACACAGTAAAAAAATGTTTGTTAATTTTAACCAAATATTAAACATATTTTATGTTTATGTCCACATACTTAGCTTTTTGTTAAGTTTACAACCAACTGTAATCTGTTAATTAATTAAAGTAGTTTGTAATTATAACAAACATTTTGTAGAATACCTTATTTTTACAAACCTTTTTGTAGACCCAGTAACAAAAGTATTTGTTGGCAATTGGGAACTTAAATGAAGAGAATTGTCATAAGAAATGTTGCTACCCAGCAAACAGAGTGACGTCAGATGACGTGTTTCAGACGTCGTTTTTGGTGATCTTTCGTCATCGCCTTAAAGGTACCAGTTATGTGACAAGTACGGTCCGTGATTATAATATACGTCATAAGATGACGTTAGCAAACGTCATTTTTTTGACGTCAGTGGGCTGTGACATTTTTCCCTAAAAGTGACGTGTTAAACACGTCGTTTTTTCAGTCATTCACTGACGTCATTACGTCGATAAATGACCGGATTATGACGTAATATTGACGTCAATTTGTTTGCTGGGTAGATAATCAAAAAAATAACACAAATCCAGATAAATAAACACAAAAATAACATACACACAATTAAATAACACACAATGCTACAATATAATTATCAGTACTACTACAATACTTACTGATGTATTTCGTTACTTTAACCCACTTCACTGTATCCCCTAATTTCAGTTTGAAAACCAGTGGTGGCATATTTTTTCGGATACTTCGCACTCTGCACACTCGTTAAATTGGAATCCGAATAACAATAATATCAGATTTCTGGTAATATATTATAAACACTCTGGACGAACACGTTAAGAATTAGAATAAAGTAAGCAGAAACATAAGTTGCAGACGCTGTCAGTTGAACTTTTTGATGCGTATTCAACATTTCCCACTGACAATACGCCGTATTGTCAGTGGGAAATGTTTTGTTTGACAATTCCACGCATATGATTACTGCTTGGCTAAATAGTCAGTTTGGTGAAAGATGGTTTGGGAGGAGAGTGACATCTTGGCCAGCTAGATCGCCAGACATTACAATAATGGATTTTTGTTTGGGGAAAAGTAAAACAAATATATTTATATATATATTTTTATAGTATACCAAGAACACATTTTAATCAACAGAATCTGTTGTCTCCATTCCTTTTTTATTATTGTAATAAATGCAATTTTAATGTGTTTTTACATAATCGAATAGAAAATTAAAAAATATTTCAATTAATTTAAGTATTTTCTATACCTAAATTTAATCATTTCATATATATTTAATAATTTCTAATATTAGACCCAGAATAGTCAAGAAAAGCAACATCTTATGTACACGTAGAATTAAGAAATGCTTTAATGTAATGGAGGACACTGAACATTTAAATTGTGACAGATACGCATTCTAAATTTTTCATAAAATTTATAAAAATATTATAAATAATTTATTGTCTCCAATGAGCTAGTGCTTCATCTAGTTGACATCTTACAGCTTTGTTTTTTTCAAAATTAGCAAATACTGCTTGTCAATTTTTTTTTTATAATTTACTGACTGATTTTTTATCAGTAATTTTGTTTACAAAACACTTAATTAGTCAACAAATTGTTTATAACAACCTAACAAATTTACGCCATTAAATTTTGAACAATGACAGATTACTTGTTCCATAGATACCGTCAACTCACCCGTCCCAGGTTTATATATATATAAGGAAAATAATTTTTCAAAATTCCTTATTGTTTATTTGCTTTTATATATTGGGAAAAAGGATTATAAGGTACCAAAACTAAATATCTCATTAGCATAAACATTTATTCTTTTATAAATACAGGGTGTTCCGAAATTAGTGCACCATACTTTAACAGCAGATTCTACGTTACAAAAATAAGAAAAAATTCGGCGGACATTTCACATACATGTGCATCTTGCAAGATGCGAAATTATTGCGATTTTACTACCATCCACTGTAATAGTAATAAAATAGGGCATTCATAAATTATATTTGTGGTAATTTTTTTTCTTAGGACTTCTAACTTGGGGAGTGGGGGTAATTACCTCCATTACCCCCCCTTATCGACGCCCTTGATACAAAATATTTAAAATTTTAGAAATTGTTAAATATCTCTGAAAATATTAACTTTGGGTATAGGGAAAACTTACATTAATCAAAAGGATTTTTTAATTTGCCATTTGATTTGGTAAAAACTTATTAACGTTTTAAGTTAGTCCAATTTGCCCTGGGTTTTCTTGGGTAATTTGTTAAAAAATGTTGAAGAATTGACATGGAATATTTTAAATAATGTTGTAAGATTCCAAAAATTCCACCCTTATGTCCACAAACCTAATAGCAAAAAAGTTAAAGGCTTAATTAATAACTCAAAAACTATTCACTGTAGGTATAGTAATTTTACACGGAATTTTTTGTAGAATTTAAAAATGTAAAAATATATTATATATTGTCACTTTAAACCGGAAGTTAAAAACAGACATTTTTTTTCATTAAAAAAAATTAAAATTATTATTTTCTTTAAGTATAATTATTGTATTATTTTAAAAACATACAATATTTAAAAAAAAGATTTATAACAAAATAAAGAATTAAAAATCTAAATGACGTGATTTCGTAAAACGGTGAGACACGGGTACGTTTTTGTAACCTTTATTGTTAAAATCTGTTAAAAATTTTCATGGGAGGAAAATCGTGTTGAACTGTGTTATTATCTGCCATCTTCGTATTGCACTAAAAGTTTTTTCCAAAACAACCTTAAATTAAAATATTCTTCATATTAATTATTATATACATATATAAGTATAATCTTTAATAAAAGTAATAACACTAAATCAGTGTTTTCTTTAGAACTACCCCAGTCCTGCCAGCTATTACCCTAAGACGTACAAATGCAAAACCTATCCTGGAATACATCAAAGACCATTTATAACGGCGGGTAAACGATTCAAGAGTAATTTGGAAATCACACCTGCTCCCACAGACTACGATGTAAAGTTCCCCGAAAAAAGAAAAAGGATATTGTGCTGTCCCCTCCCGTATTCTGAGAGGTTTACTGGAAATAAGATTGATGATATACCAGGTAATCTATGTTTTAAATAAACCACAAGTTGTATATAAACTTTTGTAGGCCCTGGCGCGTACAACTTGAAATCGCCTTTGCAACAAAAACTGGATTCAAAACTAAACAAATACGCCGCTTTTAGGGCACCCTTTAATCATACATCTAAAAGAAGCAGTTTGGTAAGAGATGAAGGCGGTCCTGGACCGACAGCATACGATGTAAAATTCGGTGATTATTGCAAGGCTACCATTGGAAGCAGCGCTTTAAAATCAAGAGTGCAAAGGTTCCCAAAAAAATGTGTAAATGTGAGTAGCAAAAAGCTTTACAAATAGGAGAAGTGCTTTTATATGATGAATGAAAGGATTCTCAAAATAGCATAAGCGTGGGTACTTAAAAAATTAGCACGCACTGTCCGTAATGTAAAAAGAAAATTGATTGCGTAAAAGGGATGTTTCCAAACTGGTTCGATTCAGCCTCGTGATTAAGATGAATAGTCGGTCGGCTAAGTGGCTTAGCAAGATTGATGTTAAATTAAATAATGAATAGCAAGTTTGAATTTAATTGGACAGGAATTTGGCAAATCGCAAAATCAAAAAGTCCATAAAGCGAGAGTTAAACGAATAAAATTTAAAACCAGGGTTGCCATTTATAATTTAATAATTATTATTAAATATTTGTATAATAAATATTTTTTACGTAATTTTTACCATTAACATTGTACGTTATTATTTTAATTAAATTTAACAATTATTGATACATCAAAATATATAAATAACTTTAAAATATGATTGTTAACAGCCAGCTTTATACTTTAAATTCGACTTTAAAAAATGTTGGTGTTTCATAATACTTTAAAGGCATTTTAAAGCCACTTTTAGTTAAAGGGCAGATTTGGAGACATTATCCAACTTAAAGTGCTACAAAACCTTAACTATTGACCCATTAAGTCGGTAATTTGTCAAAATTTTTTCGGTTTTTAATAACTTTCGATGTTATGAACCGATACGAAGGCATATGTTCAAGTTCAAGTTCATCTGATGAGGAAAATCCGGAAATATTTTTAAGAAGAAGAAAACTATAGAAAATGAGAAAACAGATTTCATGGTTATGATGTTGATTTTTTCTACATATTTCGTCTAACAAAACCCACCGCTCTATTCCTTTTTCAATTAATCGAACATATGATTATTTTGCCAACCAATAATATTTTTAAAAACGTAATAGTTGTGCAGCAAAAATGTTTCAGGGGTGGAAGTATTTCCTCAATGGTCCAGTTTCTTCTTACACTACCTACGCTACTATGCAACTGGTATTTTTTTAAATGCAATGGGAGATTTTATGGGGGTGTCAAAACCTTCAGCGAGTCGAATAGTAATAAGGATCTTGGAAGCAATTACAACTCTAAGACCAAAGGGAAATGGTAAAAAGTGTTGCTGAGTTCTACCAATTAGTGAGTTTCCCTATAGTGATTGGAGCAATAGACTGCACATTAATAAGAATAAAATATCCAGGTGGAGATGATGCAGAAATATTTAGAAGCAGGAAGGGCTTTTTTGCTTTAACCGTGCACAAAAATTTCAGATGCTAATCTGAAAATTCAGAAAATTGTCGTTCGTTGGCCTGGTTCCATGCCAAACAATATTTAACAATTCACTAGTGAAAAGGGACTTTCAAAATGTAAGATATGGAAGATACACATTAATAGGAGATGCTCCAAGAGGTAAACACACCTGAAAATTTGTATAATGAAAGCATAATAACTTCTAGAAATGTTGTCGAAAGGCAATACGAAATAAGATTGAAATTAGAAACGACCATGTTGGTGATTGTGGCAACTGCGATTATACACAATAAAGCTATCGAAATATATGATGATTTTCCAGATGACTGGTTTGAAGATCCGATTGTGGAAGATGAAGATGAAAATATGTTAGGGGAACTTAATGAAAACTATGTACTCCTGGTGCGAACATGGAAAGACATGTTAGACAACTCCTTATAAATAAACATTTTACAAGATTATAATATAAAATGTATTTAATAAAATTGCTTTCTAAACTCTTTTGGGCCTTTCTGATTTGTAAATCCATTAAAAGAATTTTTTTGCGTGCTCTTCTTGTTCCCTTGCTTCTCTGTTATGTACGTTGCATAAATATTTTTGAAATTTATTGTGAGGTAGGAGCACATAATATGTATATAATTTTTATAGGAACTTTCTATTCCTATTAGAAGGTATAAAATTTGTTACTACCTATTTAATAAAATAAATTATTGCAGAATACCGAGCCTTCAGATCCTGTAGAAAGCTCATTAGCAAAAAAAGTTAAACGAGCTATTCGTAAAGAAATTCAGCCAGCCATCAACCGTAGGGAAAAAACAAGTAGAAGTCTTAACTGATTTATAATAGAGAATAAATACCTATATAAATATAATTTTGTCTTTGTAGTGGAACCTGTAAATAAAAGGCTAAGACGAAAATTTTCAAATCCAATATTTTTAGCTAAAGAGGAATAATACAAAAAAATCAGAGCTGACAAAAAGAACCTAAATTTGACTTATGTACTTTATAGTATAAAGTTCATACCAAAAGAACTGATATAAAATATGAAAACGTTCAATTTCCTATCTAAACAAGGTGTTAAATAAGAAGTATATACTAAAAGGAACTAAAAAAACTGATCTTTAAAAAAGAAAAAGTTTCCAACCTGACAAAAACAACCTAAGTTCCATCTTCAACCTAAACAAGATTTGACCCGACGAAAACAATCTAAAAAAAATAGAAAAGAGTTGGGGCCCTCCTCCTTTATCCGGGCTTGGGACCGGCAGGTTAAAAAGACCTGGCGGAGTTACCCACCCCTCATCATATTATATACCTAAAATTTCCTAAAACAGATAAAGTATTTAAATAAAAAAAAACACGCAAAAAACAAATTTACTAGTTGAATACATACTCGTATATAAGATTACACCCTGAAGTTCCAAGAAGTCCATGCATGTCAGGTTCAAATGAAGGAATTAGGATAATAGGAAGGGTAGAAAAATGAAACGACAAATAATAAAGTTACAAATAGATTAAAGACGGTGCGCAACAACGTGCTCCACGTTAAAAACGGGTTGGCACGGATTACCGATGTTCCGAGACAAAAATCCAAAAAGTACCTTCAAGATCCATCTACCGTTTTAATTTAATTCAACAATCTGAAGATTGTGAAATTGAACTAAAATGGGTCTAAATGGAAGGGAAAAAAAGGAAGGTTTTAAAAGAAACTCCTGGGCGCCGGGTTCCATGAGATAATCACTATCTAAAACAGACTAAAATATCGCACAACATATAAAAAACATTATTTTATTATATGACCTTACATACTTACATATAATAATTATTGACCCCCAGAAATTCTACCGTCTCTTTGAAGTTCTTCCATGATTGGTCGTAATGAAGAAATAAGGAAAGGAATGGTAAGAAAAGGAAACGACAGATAATAAAATTAAAAATAGATTAGCGCCGGTGCACAACAACGGGCTCCACGTTAAAAACGGGTTGGCACGGATTACCGATGTTCCGAGACAAAATCCAAAAAGTACCTTCAAGATCTATCTACCGTTTTAATTTAATTCAACAATCTGAAGATTGTGAAATTGAACTAAAATGGGTCTAAATGGAAGGGAAAAAAAGGAAGGTTTTAAAAGAAACTCGTGGGCGCCGGGTTCCATGAGATAATCACTATCTAAAACAGACTAAAATATCGCACAACAAATAAAAAAAACATTATTTTATTATATGACCTTACATACTTACATATAATAATTATTGACCCCCAGAAATTCTACCGTCTCTTTGAAGTTCTTCCATGATTGGTCGTAATGAAGAAATAAGGAAAGGAATGGTAAGAAAAGGAAACGACAGATAATAAAATTAAAAATAGATTAGCGCCGGTGCACAACAACGGGCTCCACGTTAAAAACGGGTTGGCACGGATTACCGGTGTTCCGAGACAAAATCCAAAAAGTACCTTCAAGATCTATCTACCGTTTTAATTTAATTCAACAATCTGAAGATTGTGAAATTGAACTAAAATGGGTCTAAATGGAAGGAAAAAAGGAAGGTTTTATAAGAAACTCCTGGGCGCCTGGTTCCATGAGATAATCACTATCTAAAACAGACTAAAATATCGCACAACAAATTAAAAAAACATACTTTTATTATATGACCTTACATACTTACATATAATTATTGACCTCTAGAAATTCTGCCGTCCTTTGATCTCATTGAAGTTCTTCCATGTCTGGTCGTAATGAAGAAATAAGAAAAGGAACGGTAGGAAAAGGAAACGACAGATAATAAAGTTAAAAATAGATTAGCGCCGGTGCACAACAACGTGGTCCACGTTAAAAACGGGTTGGCACGGATTACCGATGTTCCGAGACAAAATCCAAAAAGTACCTTCAAGATCTATCTACCGTTTTAATTTAATTCAACAATCTGAAGATTGTGAAATTGAACTAAAATGGGTCTAAATGGAAGGAAAAAAGGAAGGTTTTATAAGAAACTCCTGGGCGCCTGGTTCCATGAGATAATCACTATCTAAAACAGACTAAAATATCGCACAACAAATTAAAAAAACATACTTTTATTATATGACCTTACATACTTACATATAATAATTATTGACCTCTAGAAATTCTGCCGTCCTTTGATCTCATTGAAGTTCTTCCATGTCTGGTCGTAATGAAGAAATAAGAAAAGGAACGGTAGGAAAAGGAAACGACAGATAATAAAGTTAAAAATAGATTAGCGCCGGTGCACAACAACGTGGTCCACGTTAAAAACGGGTTGGCGGGTTGGCACGGATTACCGATGTTCCGAGACAAAATCCAAAAAGTACCTTCAAGATCTATCTACCGTTTTAATTTAATTCAACAATCTGAAGATTGTGAAATTGAACTAAAATGGGTCTAAATGGAAGGAAAAAAGGAAGGTTTTATAAGAAACTCCTGGGCGCCTGGTTCCATGAGATAATCACTATCTAAAACAGACTAAAATATCGCACAACAAATTAAAAAAACATACTTTTATTATATGACCTTACATACTTACATATAATAATTATTGACCTCTAGAAATTCTGCCGTCCTTTGATCTCATTGAAGTTCTTCCATGTCTGGTCGTAATGAAGAAATAAGAAAAGGAACGGTAGGAAAAGGAAACGACAGATAATAAAGTTAAAAATAGATTAGCGCCGGTGCACAACAACGTGGTCCACGTTAAAAACGGGTTGGCACGGATTACCGATGTTCCGAGACAAAATCCAAAAAGTACCTTCAAGATCTATCTACCGTTTTAATTTAATTCAACAATCTGAAGATTGTGAAATTGAACTAAAATGGGTCTAAATGGAAGGAAAAAAAGAAAGGTTTTATAAGAAACTGCTGGGCGCCTGGTTCCATGAGATAATCACTATCTAAAACAGACTAAAATATCGCACAACAAATTAAAAAAACATACTTTTATTATATGACCTTACATACTTACACATAATAATTATTGACCTCTAGAAATTCTACCGTCCTTTGATCTCATTGAAGTTCTTTCATGTCTGGTCGTAATGAAGAAATTAGAAAAGGAACGGTAGGAAAAGGAAACGACAGATAATAAAGTTAAAAATAGATTAGCGCCGGTGCACAACAACGTGGTCCACGTTAAAAACGGGTTGGCACGGATTACCGATGTTCCGAGACAAAATCCAAAAAGTACCTTCAAGATCTATCTACCGTTTTAATTTAATTCAACAATCTGAATATTGTGAAATTGAACTAAAATGGGTCTAAATGGAAGGAAAAAAAGGAAGGTTTTATAAGAAACTGCTGGGCGCCTGGTTCCATGAGATAATCACTATCTAAAACAGACTAAAATATCGCACAACAAATTAAAAAAACATACTTTTATTATATTTTACATACTTACACATAATAATTATTGACCTCTAGAAATTCTACCGTCCTTTGATCTCATTGAAGTTCTTCCATGTCTGGTCGTAATGAAGAAATAAGAAAAGGAACGGTAGGAAAAGGAAACGACAGATAATAAAGTTAAAAATAGATTAGCGCCGGTGCACAACAACGTGGTCCACGTTAAAAACGGGTTGGCACACAGACCTACAAACAAGATGGACCGGTTTATTTACATTGAAAAGAGTGGCCAGGAACAAAAATAAATATTTTCCCTCAGTTGTCACATTTGACTTTGAAGTTTCTATATTTTACGTAAAAGATACTTGGAATCCACAACATTTAATATTTTTTATTTGATTTTATAGTGAAAAATACCAATAGTGAGTGATATAAAAATGGTGAAGCAGTGCTACGTTTGTAAAAGACTTGGATCCAAGAATTTAAAACTTTCTTTTCATAGGTTAGTTTATTTACAAAACAAACCCTGCCAGGAGCGTAGAAACTGAATAAATAAATGAATTCACTTAAATTTTAGATTTAAAGAGCCAGATTCTACATCATCTGGAACACTAACTGACAAGGTTAGTATTTTGTTATACCTATATATTTATATATATTAAATATAATTTTTACATAGGATTGCAAAACACAATAAAAAATGTACAATTTAATATTTTTATTTATCCCTAAAAACAGAACGCCACTGGTGTGGGAACTTGTTTATAAATACCCCTTACCCCTTTACCCCTAATCTAAATAGTTCTTGGCAACAAAACATTGTGTATTTTGAATAGGAAAGGCCAGTCCATTTTGTTTGTAGGTCTGTGGGTTGGCACGGATTACCGATGTTCCGAGACAAAATCCAAAAAGTACCTTCAAGATCCATCTACCGTTTTAATTTAATTCAACAATCTGAATATTGTAAAATTAAACTAAAATTGGTCTAAATGGAAGGAGAAAAAAGGAAGGTTTTAAAAGAAACTCCTGGGCGCCGGGTTTCATGAGATAATCACCATCTAAAACAGACTACAACGACGAAAAGAATTTAAAAAATATGTTCACCTACCCAAAAGCGAATTAAAAGAACTGATCTTTAAATAAAGAATTAGTTTCATCTCCAACTTAAAAAAAAATGACCTGACGAAATGAATCTAACCAAAATTTTGACCTACTATCCCTACAAAAACGAAGTAAAAGAACTGATCTTTAAAAAAAGAATAAGTTCCATATCCAACTAAAACAATATTTTTTTAATAAAAAGAATCTAAACAAAATTTTGATCTACAATCCCTACATAAACGAAGTAAAAGAACTAATGTTTAAAAAAAGAATAAGTTTCATATCCAACTTCGAATCTAATAACAATTTCACTTACAACCCCTGACAAAAACGAACTAAAAGAACTGATCTTTAATAAAGAATTAGTTCCATCTCCAACTTAAACA